TTAAGTTATGGACAATACATATATCTGACAAAGGACTTATATCCAGAATATGTAAACAACTTCAACAACTCAATAATAAAAACAACTAATAGAAATGGGTAAAAAACTTGTACAGGCACTTCAGAAAGGAAGATAATTAAAGGGCCAATAAGCCTTTGAAAAATTATTCAAGCACATCAGGAACATTGAAATTAAAACCACAATAAGACAAAATCATCTACCCACTAGAATGGCTAAAAATAAAAGGATTGTTGCCGTAAAATGTTAATGAAGATGTGAAGCACCCTAAACACATGTTTGTTTGAGTGAAAAATATTGCAACCACTTTGGAAATTGTTCTAGTAGTCTCTCATAAAATTAAACATATACCCACCTTATGGCCCAGAAATTCCACTTCTAAAAATTTACTCAAGATAAATGCAAACATATCTAAAAAACAGACTTGTACGTGAATGCTCATAGCGCATCTGTTCCATCATGAAACTCGAAACAACCCAAATGACTATCTTCATAAATGTGCCTACACATTTTGGAATACTATATACCATGGAAGACGACTCAGTAAAGACAAATTACTCAATAAGGAAAGGAAAAAAAAAACCCTCTCTTACATGCTACAACATGGATGAAGCTCAAAAACATACTAAGTGAAAGGAGTCAGACACAAAAGAGAACGTATTGTATAGTTCCACCTATATGAAAATTTTAAAGGGTCAAGTTCTGTTTCCCATCAAAATTAGCAGCAAGGACTTTATTTACCCTCATGCTAGAAACAACAACAAGAACAACAAAACCAAAAGAGATGAAAAACATATGGAACAGTGGTTTGCAAGACCCTGCGCACCAGGTAATGAAGAAGAGTGATCACTGAGATTTGGGAAACATAAGAAGTGAGCCCTATGGTTGTCCCAGCTTACTACCTTAAAAGAATTTCCAGGAGTTAGTGCAAGGTGAGGAAACACAGGCAGAGCTTGCCATTTCCATGAGTTGAAGAGATAGAGTTTGGAATTAGGGGAGGCCAAAGTGTCTAGAATTCACCATACAAAATATCCGGTAGAGGAGAGCTTCTGGAATTCTGGAGCTCGCACAAGACTGGCAGTAGTTCCTGTTCCCATCAGTCAACATGGAAAACTACAGAATTCAGGGGCCATCAGAGCACTCAGAAGTGTTTTGCCTCAATAGTGAGGCAAGATTAGCTAGACACTAAATGCTACTTTGGCCCCAACTTAACAAAGTTTCCAAGTAGGACCCAGAAGAATCAGAAGAATCATAGCACCAAGATTTCCTATCAGTGCTTAGGGAACTCCAGAATTGTTTGAGTTTCAGGGCCCACAGCCCTGAGAAGGATGAAAGGGTGCTGAGTGGGTGGGACATTGGGCTTAATTACAATCCCTTCTTCACCCACATTTTTCTGCCTTCAAATCATGGATTGGGTTTCTGGGGAAGGCTTAAATTAGAATCAGAGGTCCTATGTCTAAAATGTTTACAACCACTATATAACAGTTAGATACAGATTATGTCATGGAATCCTGGCCTTTAGGGACCCGTGTGTGCTCTCTTAATTTCATGGTCCCTCTCATATACTCTAGTCATTGCACTGTCCCCAGGTGCTCCTGATGTTCCTCACTAGATGAGGTTGTTCTGTCTGGACCCATTGCCTGGCACCTGATTATTCTGATCAAATCCTTCTTCCTTAAAGTAAAGGGAAAAGGCTTATTGACATTTCAGAATTTTAAAGCATGCCCAGAGGAATTCTGGTACTCAAAGCATCACTGAAGAAATCCCGCTTTCTATGGATGAGAGATTAAGTTAATTTTCTGCTCAACCTACTTAGAAAACAGGGAAATTAAAATAACTGTGAGACAATATATTTTCATCCAAAAGTTTGGCCAAAATTTTAAAAGTTGGTAAAATAAATGTCTGTGAGAGTATAAATCATTTACATGCATTAAACGCGAGAGTATGAGTCAGCACTGCTTTATTAGAATAGAATTTCAGCAATATTTATAAAAATTTACAATCACCACATTTTTCTACTTTAATCCAATTTACACTTTGCTATGTTTTTCCTACAAGAAAACATGCATATTCGCCCAAGAATTCATGCTCACTGATGTGGATATCAGTTCTAGTAATCATAGCAGTGTATGGGAAACAGTTTATGTGTCCATCAGGAGCAGAATGGTTAAGTTAAATATGGCACATATGCACTTTAGAATACTTGGAGGAATTAAAAGAGTGAGGTGGATCTATATCTGTTCTCATGGAAAGATCCTGCATTCGTTTTAGGAAGTGACAAGGGCAGGAGGCAAAATTATATGTACACTGTTATCTATCCATATTAAAAACTCACAATTTGTGTTTATAACACATCAATACAAGGGAAAGTGTAGAATAAATTTTAAAATAACACACAAATTTTGGGCTTTTGTTACTTCTGAAAAGAGGGATGAATTTTGGAGGGATGCAGTAAGGAAGGGGAATTATTGTTTATCCATGCTGTTAGAATTTGGGGACAATAAAAGTATGTGCACTGTTACCTAAGGCCAGCAACAGCAACAAAAACAAATTAAAGTAAAATTTTCCTCATGGGAAAACATAGAGGAGACAGTGGAACAATGTTGACTTTTTCTTATTAAGGATAGCCCAACTGCCATAGAACCATTTTCCACCTCCTAGAAGGACTCCTGGGTTTTAGGAATTCTATGTACATGTGTGTTTATACAGTGATTTCCACGAGCCTTTTCTCATCTACTACTGAAGGAAGAGGCTTTGGTTTTGACCGACAAGGTAAATTCATTTATTTTTGTATGTGATCAGTGACCAATCTCAAATAATTCAGCTCATTAAAGCTCTATTGCAGATATCAGGGTGGTTTCCAAAACCTCCTCTCTAACTTAAGGGTTATGTCCCAAGAAACAAGAAACAGTAGGCTGTGTGCCAAATCAGACTTTAGTCACCAGCAGACTTGAAAATACTTTGTGAATGTGGTGAAGCACCTGGGCGGGGTGGGGGTGGGGGAGTGGTGAAGGCAAGGAGGTGTCTAAAACCACACTGTCAGAATTACATGGAAGGGAAGTTGCTGTCAGAAGGGAGCCAGGGGGCCTGATGGGAGCTGCAGGGAGTTGGAATGCTCTAAATCAGGGGAGGGTGCAGCCTGAGAGCTGTCTGTTCCTCCAGGAGCAGGATGCAGCCTGCAGGGGAGGACCCAGAGGAGAGCTGGCCTGAAGGTCAGGTCCAGGTATGGACATGAGGGCACACTGGGGAAGTCCCAGGGGAGGGAGCCGTCATGCAGGAAAGTGCCAGGAGTGGACATTTGTGCTGAGACCAGGGCAGAGCCAGCTGTCGGGGGGACCGTGGGGTGAGGGGCCAGGAGATCCTAGGGACATGAACCCTGGGGACAATGCCCAAATTGTGCCTGATTCTCATTTTTACCTTCCTTCTTTTGGGCTGCTTTTAGTAGTTTGGCCAAAGGGTCCTTCTTTCATTGCCTGAGAGACATCATGGGATAGTGAGAAGAGAAATTACAGGACAGAAATTACAGCCTCAGGGTGGGAGGAGTGGCACTGTGTGGGCTCCAGAGTAATCAGACCAGAGCTTGAGTCCCAGCTCTGTCACTCATTGTGTGAACTGAACACATTACCAAACCCTATGAGTCTTAGATTCTTCATCAAAGAAATGAGTTTTATAAGCGGTATCTTCTAGAACTGTTAGAATGTGTACAGTGTATGTGAAGCACATGGCACAGTGACTGGTGTACATTGAAACTTTAAAGAATGGCAATTATTGCTATGGCTTTTTTATTCCCAGATAATACCAAAATTCCTGCTGAGATTTTTGTTTTTTTTGTTTTGTTGCTTTAAACTAGGAGATGTCTGAGAATATGCAGTGTTGTAGGATACTGTGCACCAAGTCAGCCAAGAATTCTTAGAAAGAAAAATTACCCTAGTAAATCATCCCACTTAGAGGATATGCTATTGAATTTGGATGTTGGGGAATCTTCCCCATCTGGATGCAACTCAAATCTCCTAAAATGTATGTTAAGAACCAACTCCTCCCCTCCCTCCCAGCTCCTCTTTGATCCAAATAACCCCTATTTTTATTCATTTAACCCCTACCAAAGTCAAACCCTCCCTTATTTGTTAAATTTTACTCAAGATAACCTAGTTAAATGCCCTTTGAATGGAACAGGCTCTGTTTCTCCCAGCCCATGGCGAAGAGGGACAGCATAGTGGCTTCTGGGCATCTAGTCTCAAGGAAGTATTACTCTTAATCAGAAACTCTCTGGTGATGATACAGATAAAATACCTAGTTTGTGTGCTATGTTCACCTGCATTGGATCCAGAGCACAGGGCACCTTCCATCACTACCTGGGTAAATATTTGTGTCTGGTTTATCCAGGATCCCAAAATAACTGCTAAAAGCAGTTACCCATTGGAGGCCTAGTTTCTCAACTCTGACACACACCACCCAAGGGTCTGGTCGCTGCTTACCACCCTCACATGCTTCTCCGACCCACCACCTTCACACCCTCCCCCATGGCCCACCACCCTCACATCTCCCACCCCACCACTTCAAACCCTCTGCCATCTCGTACCCTCCCCCCAACCGACCACCTTGCAACCTCTACCACCTCACACCCTACCCCACCACCACCCTCATACCCTCCCCCAACCTGCCACCCTCGCACCCTCCCCTAACCCTGACCATCCTTGCACCCTCCTTTGACCTACCACCCATCTTATCTTACAATTACCTCCCATTGAAGGGTTTCAAGTTTCCCAAGGCCTCAAATTGTCTTGCTTCAGGATGTTTACATTTGACTGCTCTCATCTGGACCTCCCCTTCCTGTCCCACCTCATCCTTTTTTGTCTATCTCACCATCTTCCTTTTATGGGCAATGACTCCATCTTCTTTTTCTTACCACCCCCCACACTACTATGGAGCCTTCCAAAGAGCAGATGCTCATTTAATGTTAGAAGAATAAAAAAAAAAGACAGTGAGCAATTTATTATGATTTATTTTCTCGTACATTCTTGAATGAAGAAATTTCAGGCATGTAACTTTTATTTTACAGAAGAGCAGAGTACATGGAATAAAGAAAACCAAAAATTTACCATCTTACTTTTTTCTCAATTTTTTGACTCCAGCTATTTTGTTGCTAATTTTTTTCACATTTCCAAAAAAATGGCAATTGCAGTGCTATGTTTTCTTGTTCCAGATCACTAAATAAGATGGAAGGTTACCAATTTGTTTTAGAAAATAGCGAAACTCATACTCTTAAACCTCATAAACAGCATCAAATGTGTAATATATTGTGAAGCTAATTAAACTTTTCAAAAACAGAAACATTTGATAACTTTCAACAAGAGATAAATGTGTAAGTTATTTATGTAGAATGTACGATATGCACTATGTCCCCTCTAGCTAGCACCACCTAAGCCCTCACACTACTTCAAACACAAAGTGAGGAAAGTGCTTCAGGTTTCAATACAGGTGGGAGAAGCTGCCAAAATTGGCCATGGAAGGCCCAGTATGAACCAGAGCTGTAAATCTGGCTCGGGCTCGCTCTTCTTCATCTTGCAAAGCCTCTTCATACCAGGATGGGAAGGCACTGGGGACGGTATCATGGACCTTGGCCAAGAATTCAAGGACTTTCATCTTGCTGGTCTCGGCATAGGCTCTTGGACCCCACAGGAACTCACGGCATGGAGGATTGCTGTTGGACACCTGGCGGTACAGGAGGTACCTTTCCTGCACCCAAACTTCAGTGATGAGCTTCTTGGGATCCCCGTAGATGAAGTGTTTCTTATCAGCATATATCCCCATCACATTAAGCACTTCCCACATATCCTTTTCAGTGGCACAGTTGCCCTTAATGAAGATCACACAGAGGACGGTCATCAAGAGGCCGGTCTGGGGCATGATTTCCTCACCCCTCAGCCTGTCATCATTGGTGCGCTGCAATTTGCTGATAAGGGCATAGTGGTGCCTGGTAGGGTCGACTTCCTTCAGATCAATGCCAAAGGCCAGCACCATTAGCTCAGAGGCTTTCCTGAGAATCTCACAGAAATGCACCTTGTGCTTTTTGATGACATGCTTAATCATGTCTTCCTTTGTTATGGGCTCCCTCATGTTATACTTGCGCAGCAGGAATTGCACCAATAGAATCGCCTTGTCATCTAGAGGGGTTCTGTGGTAACGACCAGTGTTGGGTTGTGCCTGAGAGGTGCTTGGTTTTTCCTCATCTTGGCTCTTGGCACTTTTATCAGATTTTGTATGTGAAACACCTGCAGAAGTAGTAGTAGTGGATGGGGCTTTCCGAAACCCCTGGGTTTTTCTACCTGACCCAGCAGCTGAGGAGCTCTGGGCACTACCACCAGAAGGAGAAAAGGAGGAAGTGGAGGGCTGTTCTTCCTCTGCTGCAGTGGCCTGAGCATCCTGGGCACGCTGAGCCTCGATCCGGGCCTGATGGCGTTTCTCACGGGCACGAAGCTTACTCTTTTGCCCCCGAGGCATGGTGACACTGGTCAGGGACAGTAGGCATTAATGTGGGCAGGAGGGCAGGCAATGAGGGCACCTAGAGGAGGGAGAATGAGATAGTGTGTGCGCCTTCAGCAGGGACATTTCACCTTGGCTTTAACCAAAGCCACTTCTGCAGGCTTCCCTGACAACACTGCTCTAAGACCACACAGGGCTCCTTTTCTAATCAGTGTGTCCCCTGAGAACCCTGAAGAGGAAGTTAGAGTGTGCCTTAGACTGCAGCTGCCGGCCCTGCCGGGATCAACTTGGTGGCCGAGAGCAAGGGCTGGCAGGTTATAGTTTCTGTACGGTCCCCTCTGTTCTGAGGTGGAGAATTCTCAGTTCACATTTAGGATCATCCTGTCAACTGTTGGCAGTGCCCAGGGCCTCCTCCCCTCTACAGCTCTGAAGCTAAACTTTTTACACCGATGACCTTACCGCCGTGAGATTCTTGGGGAGCAAATGAGAAAGAGCCACTCATGCTGCAGCCTTCCAGAGCTGACAACAGGAGCAGAGTTTTGTGGGATCCCCACAGTCTTGGATGATTAGGGTTTTCAGTGCTCAGCCGTGTACCCACTCCCATCAGACCAAACCCCCCATCTCCCGGAGGTGACAGCCCCACCTGGGGCCTCCCAGGGTAGATTTCAAGGGCAGGGCCCTCTGCGGGGTTGGGAATACCCTCAGTCCTCACTCAGACTCCTCTCCTTGACTCCGAATAGAGCCTGGGATTCTTCACTCTTTTGATCTCAGTCCACCAGCCTCAGATCAAAGTCTTCACTCTCTGAGACCCTGAAACGGAATTGAAGGGGCGTTAACAGCCAGGCCTCGGGGCTCTGCGCGTGGACGCCGGGGGCGGGGTTAGGTGGCGTGTCCTTTGGTCTCAGAATTACCA